AGAAGGAGACGAATGACTCAAACCGGGGCTTTAACTCACTTTGAATCTACCCTGTCCTAAGGGGAGGAGAGTACATTCCTCTTAAGCAATCACTGTCTTAAGGAATGTGTAGTAAATTTCCTGCTCAATGGAATTTGCGAAAAAGACAAAGATTGCCTTCGATCGGAATCAATCCCCACACCTTTGGTGTTCGAATCGAACCTCGTAGACAGACCACAGTTAGACCAAGACACTCTTCTGACGAAGAATGAAGCTTTAAATGTACCGGGGAACGCCGGTTGAATAGTTCAGCAGCAAGACCTGAAGACCGAACGCTGCTGCAGAAGACAATGGAGGGTTTTGTATATGCATAGTCGCAGGTGCATAATCATAAATATACAGTCTCGAAATGCCCGTGTTGATGTGCGTTACAACAGCAAGAGCTGCAGGTGGAGCAACGTGAAGTTCGCAGGCTCCATTACACGTAGCCTGAATCTGTTCAGAACTGTTTACATGTCCAAACCGACGCTGCTACGCAAGTTTTCAGATTCGTAATCAGCAATTTTGGGGCATAGAGCAAATATGCCATAGTGATGACGATGATCATGATAGGAATGAACATAATACGTACTACCAAAAAATATATTATATGCAATTCTAACAATCAATAGTACTTGAAATACGTATTTTAACTGGCACTGTACATACGAATAAAAGGCAGTCGGCACAAATTTTGTGCCATATTTAATTAAATACTGTATATGACATCGTACAACCACGAGAACCACATTTACTAGTGAAAAAAGTAGCATATACAACTCTAGCAGTATGTACTGAATCTTATACAGTATCAGAACTATATACAAAATTTTATTGCATATATATAAGTACGTTAATGTTTGAACTACATACCATGCATAGAGATTTATTTAACGATAAAACTTATACACAGACCAATTTCGGTAAAGCTTTATGGCTGTTTTGTATTATATATATGCGGCACTGTACCACTCCCACTGCGTTTACAACAGAAAATAACACATGCCTTTAAACTATTCCATGTATATACAGTATATAAGGCGTGATGTTAACTACATTTACTATATTTAATTATTCTATAAATACTGACAGGTACATACAGAAAGAATATCCAACTGTAGACGAAGGCCACACTTAGATTTCTTCACCAAACCTTAAATTCTTCTGCGACCTGCATCAGCACTAGTCGTGGCTTGATTTGAGCTTCGATTCTTCGCTGACTTGTTTCGCACCTGAAATTTGATTAAACAGCCACCTTGGCCACACTCATCATATTGTACTTCTGAACCTTTTGGATCAAACTCTTTACTCTGCCATATTTGTACATACATACAGTCAACAAGCTTCGCTGACCTCTTATCCCTCCGGGTCGCAGAAGCAGATGCATCTGAGCGTCTCCAGAGCTTGAGCGTTAGCGTAAGATAGCCCAGTCCAGAGCAGTCTATTAAAACATTTGTCTCAGGTAAATCTTGGCCGTCCCCAGGGTCTACTCTACTTCCGGACGGTTGGGCAAATAGTAGCTGTTCTGTTTCGTTTTCCCTTCTGTTAGCTTTCGCAGTGTGCGAAAACACCGTTGCAGCTATGAATTCTCGATATGGAGAAGAACATAGCTATTTAATAAACATAAAAGAAGAACACGCAAACGTACAACTCTCAATACAAACTTAACATTTCGACTGAAATATGGTTTCTATGCACCTACCTGGAATGAAACTGTCACCAAGAGCGCGACCAACCCATGGGTCAAGTTTATTCCGGAGTCCCACTACATTTTTCAACTGTCTCTCTGGAGTTCTGGCGATATCTTTGCCCAGATCTTCGATATCAGCTATTTCCTCCCTTAACAAAATATCACTCAAAAACTCATTCTGAACAGACAATTTACCTCATATCTCCCTCGTCGCTACGGATGCATATTTCGTTGCTCACTTCTTAATTTTCACCAAAGATATCCTTTGAGAACTGTGAGACTTAACTGCAATTCATATTCAAAGACTTCCGTATGTAAATATTTTCATCCTTTTTTAGCTTTTTAATACAGCGCTAGATCACTGTCTGTAACTCATGACTTCGTACAGATTTTTAGGTTAGAACAAGGATTCACGGAGATTCCTGTTACTAAATCATACATGTCTTTATTCTACTCCGTTATCAATTTGAAATCAATCTAATTAAACGAAACGCTTACTCTTTAGACACACAATGAAAAATTTTTAAAAATGCTTGCCGTAATTTTATGACAACGTATCGATAAAAATTTTATTTACAACTGTTTGTCCCGAAAACATTACAGTTATGAATGACTTCTGCTCTGCTCGTCTAAGTACTTTGTGATTCATTTCCGCATCGAGTCGTGTGGAGGAATCTTGCATATACTTTCGGAGCCAGTAACTTATACGATCAGTATTTTTCAGTAATTGACAGTTATTCTGTTAGGTTAGGCTTTCTCGAAATTTTTGCAAAAGTGATCAAACTGGTGATAGTGACCTCATGGCTATCATTATTCCCGAATATAACGCGCTACTTGTAACAAAAAATAAATTTTTACTGTTTAATTATGAATATTATAAAGTCAGCTTTATGTTCTTCCGCTTAAGCGGTGTCTGAATATCAATTCCTTAAACTCATAAAATGTCACTGCATTAGTCAACGAAACGACGGTAAATGTACCGATATATCTGGTGTGTTAGCGAACCATTGATCCGCTTGTCCCTTAAGCAATCGCATGAAAATTTAGTTCTAAAGATACGTGTAAATGGGTCCTGATCAACAAAGTACACTGATTTATTTCATAAACGTAACCCAACTTATTTTATTCCCTTTTGTTCTTCATAAATAATTTTTTCGGCACAGCAGTGGGGTGTGCGCTTAGAAAAGATTAACACGTTTCTTTTCTGTCATAGTTTACTTCGTGATTGTTTTCTTTTCGCTTTGTAATATTTTCTGATTGACAGCATCCGTATTTTTCTATTGCCTTTATATTGTGTTGTCTTGTTTTCTGTCGTTCAAAATATGAAGACTACTTTTTTTAATGTGAATTTCTTTTTGGAAGTCTTACACGGATTTCAGAGTGCTTCATCTGCCTGAATTTTTGCATTTTTCGTCTTAGGTATTGACGGATTCTCGCAGTGATTGGGGGATGTCTTGTTTGATTTGTTTTAACAAGATCATCCAGAAGTTTGACTGTTACAGACGGCGAAAATCCTATTCCTCTGCGCAATTGATCCAGGTTTGTACTGAGTGCTCTGGAATGCAAAATTTCCGCGATAAAAGAAAATGGGCATCAAGTAGCACAGTTCGATGCAAGCCTGTTACATCCTTTCCTTCCTCCCGCGATCGTCGATAAATTTGTCTGATTCGAAAATCCTGACCATAATCCGCTTTCTTGTAAGCCTCATAGTCTTTCAAATTTCTGCCTTGCGCACTTCGTATTTTGGAGAAAAGGAATTCGTCGCTGCTTTCTGAGACTGTTTTGTCTGTGCCTCAAACTCGTAAATCGCTTAATCATTTTCGAATAGTTTTTGGTTTTTTCGTCAAATACATAGTATCATTCCGTCTGTCTTAAAATTTCAACCAGTTGAATTTAAGAAATTCCGCCTCCATGATGTTGCTGACCACTTTTCAATGAAGCGCCATCAACAGATTGTGTTACAGCGCTGCATTAGTCACCATGCCGCTGAATGGTATGGATATACTGAATCCATTTCTCGAGTGTTGTTTGTCATAGGACGTAGCGAAACGGCGTTATATACATATATGGTTATCGACCTAACAAAATTTCAATGCTAATACATCGTATTGGACAGAAAAACAATAAACATACAGGCTTTTACTTCTGCCTTTTGGATCTATAATCACGGAATTCGAGTAATTTAGCTTGGAAGTGAAGAAGACACAGAAAAAGATATTTATTGTAAAGAGGTGGGCGCGAAATGAATTCGCGATAGTTGAGTTCGATAACGAAAATGTAGTTATCTAGCGTCTGGCTTAAAAAAGCTTGAAGGGCAGCAGCTGATGATCTCCTGCGCAAAGAATTGGTTGTCAACAAGACGGATATGCCGATTCCAACCCTTCTGGAAAGTGCAAACTAAAAAATACCCTGCACGATGCATGGCTGATGAAAAACTGTCCGTGAAATGGCGAAAGTCAAGAACGATGAACTGCTCGTTGCGTACTGCATAAGTCCATAATCCGATGTCATAGGTTTGGGGACTCCACGAATTTGCTACAGTAACTCTAAAATGTGCACAACAACTGTATGATTGCTAATCGTCTGT